CGAGTACGTTATTAGCGGCCTTTTAAGTCTTTCAAAAATATCTGAAGGTAAAAGATCCGACCCCTAATTTATTAATATATTTGTCAAGTATCAAGTTTACAGCTTTAGTATATATAATTCATCTTTTACATTTAGATTCATTTATGACTTGTATTAACCCTATTAAACGAGGTTAAGCATTTAAAATAAGTACAGTACTTTTGACTTACTCAGGAATATTATTCGGAAAGTAACAATTTTAACATTTATTTTGGGGCTCCGTGAATAATAGTCAACTTTTTCAAGGGCTCCGCAACACAAAAAGTTTGAGAACCCCTGTTCTAGAGAAAAAAGAGCACACTTAAAAACATTCCACGCGGAAAAAAACTATCAAATAATGTGCCGGGCAAAAATTGAAATGGGTGAAACAGAAAATAATACCATATATTTGCGTAATTCAGTGCTGGGCACCCATTATGCGTACGAAAGGCACGCGTAAAACATCTCACACAAAAATCACGTATAATACATGCCAAATCAGCGTGCAGCAGATTTCTTTGCTTCGTTTTAATTGAATCTAGCGATGAAATTTTTTTGTATAACGCAGTAACTGGTTGAAAATACGCACAACTGTTTGATTGCTCGATTACTTATAGCGACGGGAATTCTTATCAAGAGATATCCAAAATTGTGTCAAGTAATTCTTTTTTAAATCTGGACTGTAAAGTAGAGTCACAAATTTAATCAAGCTCTTCCTTTTTCATGGGGTTCATCATATTAACGCCCCTGCAGTTAATCGACGCCTCACACAGATGAATTTACGTTACAATGACAAAGTCGTCGATAACTCGGCATCAGGCTCAAATTCCTACTGTGTCTGCTCAAAATACTAGAAAACATCTCTGCGGCCCATGCTCTTTTTGCGCGTGGCGTGACCACATGCAGGGTCGCAACAAGTTCATATCTCACTGGAGTATTATACAGTTTTTGACTGTTTTCTGGTTTGAACGAAGAAATATGCATAATGTTTATATGGATGATCCTATTAATCAGGAAAAGAACGCAAAACAAAAAAGCACGCGCGCCGATTTTTAGGTTTCTGAATCTTGTGAGATTTGATGGAGCGCATTCGTGATGAATCGGAGCTAAAAAGCAAAAAGTGTGATTGCTCGGCGCCAAGATGTCGCGAAAGACGTCGCAATACGACTGCGGAAGAGTAATTGTGTAATAAACCAACGCAACCTCGTACTCACAGAACAAAAAAGCACGCGTCCCGATTTCTAGGTTTCTGAATCTTGCGAGATTTGATGGAGCGCATTCGCGATGAATCGGAGCCAAAAAGCGAAAAGTGTGATTGCTCGGCGCCAAGATGTCGCGATAGACGTCGCAATATGACTGCGGAAGAGAAATTGCGCAATAAACCAACGCAACCTTGTATTCGGCGAAGCGATTGAGACGGATTAAAAAAACAAGACAACGAAATTTTTCGCGAACTGGCAAAAAAGCTTCGCGGACCGGCACCGGCGGTTGGGAACCACTGATCTAGCTGACCGAATGTAGCGTGTTGTGGCTCTATGTCAGCAGGAACCAATGCTTCGCTCCGTCAATTTCACTGGCGATAGCATCGGTGTGACAATTTTCAGCTAAGATGAAATTAACGATATCGAAAGATTCTGCTGTACAGGTCGAACGCCACTAACTGAGGACAAAACTTTCAATTTGTGTGAAATTCACGTGACAGTGATTCAAGAATTTGTCCGTCTCAAACAAAACGACGGGGGAACCGCCTATTATGCTCGGACCTTTGTACATTCACTCGTCTTTTTTTTGCCAAATGCTATGATCAATTTTTCTCGTTACTTTCCGGTGCTTTGAATGATCTGTCGATTCAGAATTACTAACAATAGAAACCTATGACGAAAAAGCTATACGCAAGTCCATATATACGAACTTTCCTGAAGCCAACAATCAATATAATCCGTTCTTGACATTTAAAGAATAATGACGAAGAATTCATGAGGAATAAAGTGGGAATAAATATGAGTGAAAGAAAACGTATTGAGGAAATGATATTTGGACAAGTAGGTATAATAACGACGGAAGATGAAGGATCATTCGCAAAAAAAGGCTTCGCATATATATATATATATAGTACATGCAATAGAAAACGCATCATTGAGGGATTACTTGGTGAGACGGGTTTTACCACTAATAAAGCTAGCAAAGAATCGGCATCTCACCGCACACTGGACAAATAACAACACTGAAAGCATGAACCAGCACGAACTCAAACACATGATTGACTAGAAGACTACCAACATTGACCTTCTTATCAAACGGTTAATTGCTAACGATACGGGCAACTTCATCCGGTGGCAAGAAACCATGTCAAAGAAAACGACCGCGATCTGAAAAAACCCGGACCGTGAAGAAACTCAAAAAACACAAACAAATATAAATTTCACATGTTTCTGGTTGTTTATTTTATTCAATAATTTAGTTCCTGCAATTTTTAGTCGTTCCCACTTTTTTTTCTTTGTATATATATTAGTTGTTCCCACTTTTTTCTTTGTATATATTTATAGCGTTCCCACTTTTTTTTCTTTGTATATATATTAGTTGTTCCCACTTTTTTTCTTTGTATATATTTATAGTCGTTCCCACTTTTTTTCTTTGTATATATATTAGTTGTTCCCACTTTTTTTCTTTGTATATATTTATAGTCGTTTCCACTTTTTTTCTTTGTATATATTTATTCGTTCCCACTGTTACTCAGTTTTTGAATCTCCTTTTTTTTATTCATGTATATTTTTATTTATTTTCAGTAAACGCCTTCTTTTATCGTCCATTTCCATTTCTTCTTTTAACTTGTAAAATACAAAAACCGGCAATACGAGAACGACAGTGGGCATGGACTCTGAGATTCAAGTTTGTTGTAGCAACCACTGTGAAGCTAGTAGCAAACCTTCTTCTAATTGTGCGCAGCGGTGCGTTAAGTCTCGTTTTTGTGCTCATTGAAGAGTGATATTACAGTTTTGTGCTTATTGAAGGGTGATGGAGTAAAACGTAGGCGATTTCTAAATTCCACACGGCAGAATTGCTCTCAATTATAGAATTCCTCTCGATTATAGATATGGAAGAAACATCAAGATAAACGGTAAATTTAAGTGCAGCTTGGAAACTGAATCGATAGCACAACAGCAGTTTGTTTTACACTAAGCAAACTGACTGCTGTTGTGAATTTTAGTAATTATTGAAGAAAATAACAATTTCTGTTGTAATACAGCATTAGTAAATATAGGTCAATAGCATGAAACTGAATATTGCAGGATGCATTTAAGAGCACCAGATAAGGGTGATGAAATTTAGATTTTCCGTGCTAGATCGCTCCCGTTCTTAGATCTGTAGATAGGCGATAGCTACCGTACAGGACCGTCCTGGTACCGGTATAGGTTTACTTACGCGGAAATTCTGCTCCGTTTCATTTATTTAGGGTCTGTCCCGGTGAAGTACCGAATGACCTTTACAAGATATCTGCATGTATGTTCCGATATGTTTAGGTAGCCTAGATATTCTACCCCGTTCCGGCAATTCGGGGTCAGTTCCGGTAATTTAGGGGTTGTTCCGGTAATTACAGAAACCTATTTTTACCACTGTTCCCCCAAAGTTCGCTGTTTCAACTTCGAAATCGCTTGGAGTGTATAAAATGTTCTTTGAAATTCCGGTAGGTTTAGGTGAAAATATTCCTCCGTTTCGGTAATTTAGGGCCGTTCCGGTACCGTAATTAAAAGAACTCCTTATCTTGGAAGGTCTAATGCAAGGCGGTTTTACAGCTAAACTGACGCCCGATTATTAGCTGAAAAAGATATTCCAAATAGAAACAAGCATTAGCAATGTCGTTCAACTGTTCAATGTTCAATTGGTTATTTTTTTGACTCATGCATTGTTTGAACTAGACTATTTGATATCGAGTAAAAAGTTCGATCTGGATGATTCCAGCTTCGGGAAAAGGAGAATCGCATTATGAGATTCGCGAAAATTTTGTAAACAGTAAGTACTGAGGAAATTCGTCATGTGGAATATAATTCTGTAATTCGGAATTTTTCGTAGATGTGTGGTTTGCACTTTTTTAATCGCTTTTGCAGTTGGATGAGTTAAAAATTTTGTTGTTATTCCGATATAGAGATTTTGGTAGTCAAGTTGTCTCTGGTGTCCTGTCTGTGTAGTCGAGTTGTAAGTAGCTAATATCTGAATGTGGCGTTTGACCCAGGTGGATTTTCGGTACCTATTTAGATATAGCCTAACTTAGTACTGGTCTGAGAGTTAATGTTGAGATGGTGTATTACTGTAATATCTGAATGTGGTATTGCTTGACTCTAATTCAGTACGGTAGTCGTTACAGGAAAGATAGTGATTGATCAAGATATATCTGATGTATATATGTGCGATACTAGTATTCTTTGGAATAACTCAGCCGAGCTCTTGTCAGCTTGTGCTCTTGCTTCGATAATTTGTGTTTAGAGTGTTGGTAATTTTTGGTGACATAGGCTGATCACATTACTGCATTATGCTTGAATAGTATTTTAATATTATTGGTAGAGAGCAATTGATGATGAGCATCAACTTACTTGTTTTCTGTAAGAACTCTATAAGGTTGTGACAATTAAAATTTGACAAGATGGTCAGAATCGACCAACCTAGTATGGCGCACAAAGATAGGCTACAATAGTGTTATGTGGCAAAAGTCACCCATTGTCCTCCAAACATTAATGATACTCACGATGTGCTTGTCAAATTATTAATATCAGGAAATACCGCAGATACTGGAAATATAAGATATCGTAATAAAAATCTCATTAAATAACATTGGTCTGGTCCCAATTTATGATAGAATTCCTTTTATATTTTTCTGAATGCCTGCCTCTGAAGAAACAAGAGTTTTGCTAATGTCACAGAACTCAGATTTGAAATTGTCTCATTGAAACTAGGTCATTTACCACTGCTCTAAATTGTTCATTTTTCTTTCACCAACAAGTTCCAGAAATTTTTGTTCATATAAAATAAGTTACTAAAAAAAATGCAACACACTCAATCTTCAGATCTTTCAAATCAAGATATAAAGATTCTTAGTGATTCTCAAAGGCATAATTTAAACGAATTGCTTCAACGGGCTGGGCAACGGGCATTTGCAACAGCTCAAAACACACGCATGCAACAGCCCAGACTTCAGATTAATAGCAGCAATGCACTTAAAGAACAGAGAATGCATGTTATGCTGCACCCACAACAACAGCCACAGACTGTTGTTCAAACAAACAATCCTGTATATAAACATCATATACAGCAAGCACATTCATCTTCAATACAGAATTCAACGCCTCAAAGGCAGTTTGTTCTGGTTCAAGCACAGCCAAACACTGGGACTTCTGTTCCTCGTACTCTTCAAGTACAGCCAGGAAACCTGATGCAACACATTCAAGCCAGAGAATCTTCAACTGATAAATCAATTCCTGGACAAATTCGTCTTGGACAGACTTATCAATTTGATGTAAAAAGATCTAATCAAATTTCTCATCCAAGTAGTATCATTCTTAAGCAAAGCCCTAATGTGTCCAATCATAACCAAAAGATATCCCTTGGAACCAATGACAAAGGCAAATTTATTCCATTCTCAACCCTTATTACCTCACAAGGGTCTCAACAAATAAATTCCACTTCTTACCCTGTAACAAACATGACTACCATGAGTTATGTTGTACCCACAACCACTGCAGTTCCATTACAAAGTATTCCATTATTTTCTATGAACACACACTCTATTTCATCACCAAGGAATGGTGGACCGATGTTAAATACCACATCTCATCCAAAATCATCAATGAGTATGCCCAATATTAAAAGTGAGTGTCAGCCTACAATATCATTGCACCGTTTACATGAAACAGAAAAAGATCCGTTTGACTGGGATGAATATTTGAAGTTAACAAAGTCTGTAGCAGCACCTCATTCATCTTTTAAGCATGTTGAAATTAGTCTGCACAATGGATTCAATCCTGGAATGAAACTTGAAGTGTCAAATAAATCTGACCCAACAACATACTGGGTGGCTACTCTTATATCAACATGTGGTAGTTTACTACTTTTGAGATATGATGGCTATGGGGATGATAGAAAGACTGATTTTTGGGCTGATGTTTGTACTGCTGATCTTCATCCCATTGGCTGGTGTGCTCAAAATGGGAAAATTTTGCAACCTCCTGAGTCAATAAAAAATATGCATGAAAATTGGGCAGATTTTCTAGTGAAAAATTTAATAGGGGCTCGCACTGCCCCAGAAAGACTTCTCAGTGGGCCATTTAAAGGCAAAACTGTTGTTGAGATGATAGAATCAAATATGCTTCTAGAAGTTCAAGATTCTCAACATCCACAACATGTTTGGATGGTGGATGTAAAGAAAAATGTTGGAGGCCGTCTTCTGCTGAGATACAAAGGACTGTCTAATGATGACTCAAAATATGATTTTTGGCTTTTTTATCTTGATGTCAGATTGCATCAAGTTGGATGGGGAAAGGAGCATCGCCTCACCATGAAACCTCCAGATGCGATTCGGAGTAAATACAGCAGTAAGGAGCAGTGGGCTTATGTATTGTCTGTTTCATTAAAAGGAGTCACTGAACAACATCTAGTTCCAAGTTGTGTTTTCCAAGATCAAGTTAAACTGAAATCTCACAATATGAAGCAGTCTTTTAAACTTGCAGTTCTGGATCCTATTGACCCAACAAAGATCAGACCAGCCACTGTAGTCAAAGTGGTAAATGACTACTTTTTTCTAGCTGAGCTCGATGACCTATGCAAACAGACCACCAGCTGTGCTTTCTTATGTCATTCTGGTTCTTCTGGAATATTTTCAATTGATTGGTGCAAAATGAATGATATACCCATTGCTGCACCGCAAGGGTATAATGTTAATTTGTTTGATTGGGACGAGTATTTGCGATTAACGTGTGCTCTTGCTGCACCAGAATCCTGTTTTTCTTACTCGAATGAGAAACATGAATTCAGTCCTGGAATGAAATTAGAAGCATGTAGTCCCTACAATCTAAATGAAATATGTGTTGCCACTATTGTTAAAGTTCACGGAAATGTTCTTCGGTTGCGTCTAGCTGCATCTTTACCCAGTCCTGATGGACAAAAAACATCTCATATCAAAAAATTTGTTGATTGTTATGTTCACTGTACATCACAAGATATATTTCCTGTGGGATGGTGTCACTCTAACAACTATCCTTTGTCAGCACCGACGACTTGGCGACAAAAGCCATTTGTCCCCAGCTCTTTCAATCAGAACTTCCCCAGCAAGAAAGTTGCAATTATAACTCCTGAAGTTCAAGAAAAATTGGCTGATGATTCTATGACTTCACAATCCTTGCGAAGAAAGTTAATCAATCCTAGTACTGATAGTGAGCTTTGGTGCCCTGTAATTTGCTTTAATTGCAAATGCAAAAGTGGTATTTTACTTAACGAACATGATCTATCAAAAGTGCCTCGTTCTGTTGGACCTGGACATACCGCTCTCGTTCTCAAAGAAGTGCTTACATTATTGGTTGGTGCTGCAGAGAGGCCACATAAACTTTTAAAAGACTTGGAGGATTTTACTATGAGTAAATGGGATCAGCCTTGCATTGTGAAGACCAAATTTGATGGAAAGAAATATCAGGGAACTTTGCATGTTGTGAGCATGGCAAGTCAGGTGCCCAATTTCTTAAATTCATTATCATATTTTCTCAAGTGTTGCCCAAATTTACTAACACTACGCGATCCAGTAACAAACTGTCCCATGAACTGCAAAGCACAAAAATTGATTAGAAAGTCTATGTCAACAAGAGGAAGAGGACGAAAATTCATTTTAAGAAACGAGTTTAAACCCACTGTAAAACCTGGTTTTAAGTCGTATATAAGCAGGCGAGGTGGACATAATGTCATACGCCGAGCACCTTTCTATCGCCAAAAAGGCTTTGGGAGAATGAGTGCTTTCTTTACAAAAGCTTCAGGCTCCATGAAACGCTCTGTCAACCAAGTGCCGCAGAACAAGCGCCTTTATCTTCAAGAAATTTTAAGAAAACGCCAAAATAAAATGAAGTTGCATAAGTTAAATCTTCGGTCAAATCCTGTTCAGTGGACAGTCCAGGAGGTTATGGATTTTATGTCATCCACAGATTGTGCTGAATTCGCTGAAACTCTTTCTTCACACCAAATTGATGGTCAGGCACTGCTCTTGCTAACATTACCTGTCCTTCAACAATGTCTTGAGCTGAAACTCGGTCCTGCCCTAAAAGTGGCGAGACAGGTTGAAAGGGTTAAGATGGCATTTTATGAAAAATTTGCTGAAAACTAAAAAAACAATCTTAAATCAATAAAATTGTAGCAACGTGACCTAACAGAATAACAAATAGTTTTGTGAATCATTTATGCATGGTTTTGTTGCATGAGGTTAAGGCCATGGAAAACAACACACTATTTTTTTTATTTATGTTTTGCAAGTTTCCCAGAGTCAATAAAGATATAAAAGTTCATTTGTGTTTTATAAGAGGGTTATATATTGAAAAATCTGAAACATGACATATTCCGAATGGTGGTCAACAGACATGACTGAGAGATGTAGTGATATTTTTATTTCAATTTCAAGAGTGTGACAAGCAGATTTCATTGGATGTCTCTACACATAGGCATGGTCGGATTTAGGCGGCGAAGGGGCCCTACCGACCATATGCCATTTGTAAGCTCCCCGTCTTTAACAATGACATCATAAACGCGTCATGTAATACGTTAAAACGCTCTTTTCTGTTTTCAAAATAATGTATTGTGATGTCAGAAGTAGAGTTTTAAGTTGCGTAAAATACGAAAGTTTATTTACATGCAAGATACGTACGCTAATCACCAGAGTATATTGGGTAATAGGTTGAATGTAAGAACACTTTAAGAAAATTAGTGATAGAATGATAGATAAAACAGTCATTCCCTAATTTTGAATAACAGGTCTGTGATAAGAAAGATCCGAACAAAGTAAAATAAATAATACTTCTTAGATTAATTAGAAGGATAAAAACTTTCAATTAATTTGAATTGGTATAATTTGTTTTAAACAAAAAATAGCTATTGAGTTTTCCTCAACATAACAACATAATAACAAATCGATCTTTTTCATGCCCAATAATATTTTTAATTCAAACGGCTTGGCCCCTAGGCTGTTAGCCCACCTTGTCTTATGGTAAATTCGGGACTGCACATAGGTATAGCTTAGCACTATGCGCCAATCTTCGATTGTCTGATTTTCATTCGGAAATGATGATTTAGACCGAATTATCTAGCCGGAGTCGATCAAATGAAAGTCCGAACTACTTATTTGTTACAGATAAGAGCTACTTATAAGTATACCGATAGTGTCAGTCAGTAGTTTATTTTATCACAAACCGAAGGTAAACATTTGACAAACATAATCAAGAACAAGATGGCTATGCTTAAATATATGGACACGTAGAGTCACATAATTTTGATGACGTCATAGCGAAAAAAAAAGTAATAGCCTTCTGGAGAAAATTTTTATCTTTAACCACTGAAAATTTCAAAGCAATTGGTCCAGTATTCGAAGAGAAAAGCGACTTTTTAAAAACGTGTCGAAGAACAACAACAACATAATATTGAAACGATCGTTATGTCCACTACGTGTCCAAAAATAGTAAATTGCGTTTCAGTGTGAAAGGAAACGCGATAAACCAGAGATGGTTATCGAGCAGCGTCATCTTTGAGGCAGTGAGTCTAATATTAAATCATAATGAGAAAGAAGTCAAACATAAAAACTAACAAAAGCCGGACTTGAGACACCATTGAGCGACCCGATAACCCGGTTAAATAACGAAAGAAAGCAACTCCAGACACGACAGGCTGCGGTAAAACATGGGGACCGCAGATCAACTTATACCCACGAACAACCTCTTCTCTTTAAACAAAAAAAAATCAAATCGACCTGTACAGGTCCAAATTTTATTTTTGAAATATTTGTCAACGCGCTTCGACATCGATTTTTCTTTGAATTTAATCGCAAATATTTAATTGAGGATGGGTCTTGATAACCTTCGGTTACTCATGTATTTACGTCAAGCCAATAATTTATTTTTCCCAACCCATCACCTTTCCCGTAATTTTGTGCGTGATTGATTTTTTACGGATTGGAAGTTGGAAAAAACAAACTTGACTCTGATTACAAATTCATGCGCAACCATAGTTTTTTCTTTCAATATTATGCCAATCATGCACCAATGAGTCATGCGGGCTTGACATGACGGTAAAAATCACGTTGAAAATTTTATTCCGGAGTCGGACTAATTTTTTCCCCAATTGGTAGAAAAGATCTTATCAGAAATAAATCAGAGTAATAATTTTACTGTAAATATATCCACAGCCAGAATTGTGAATAACGAATGGGTAAAATCACCGGGTGACCTAAAAAAAAATAGAACCCCAGGTCATTTGGACCATAACCTACGGGTTCTGTTTTTTGGGTCACCCTGTATTCTGATTGCAACGACATCTTTCCCGCAATACCGTACCGTTTGAAAATACCGTTTATTTTTATGAAACTGTTTTCGTTTCTGTGGAAGCAATGAGCACATATACATATATGTATATATGCTCATTGGTGGAAGCAATGACATTAAACAACATGATGCGCAACTCCGGCATTTTTGTCCGAAGATCGTATTCGATAGCACGCTCCAATGCACATACTTGACGAGACGAAAACGAGCGGATGTGTGCTGCTTTCAAGGCGTAGCACGAATGGTGTTCGTGCCTGCTTTGACAGTTGTTGTCGATTTTAATGATATTTTTGAAAGTTGGGGTAAAAAGAAATCGGTAAAAGGTAAGGTGAATACTATTGTTGTATATCACACCCGGGCATCGCACTGTTAAGTACATGTGGGAAAGCCAGCCTTTGTCAAATACTACGAAGTTATTAATTCAGTACGGTACGTAGTTGCCCATTTGCCGAAATTACATATTTACTTACCCCTTATGGTTTCAAATAGTTCATGCACCTCCAGTTAGATTTTTTTAATCAGTGAGGATATATACTCATTGTTGATTGCTGCTCATTGTAACATACTATTACGCATTCACTTTTATTTGCGTATTGAATCAAAGTGTTAACAAGTTCACCTAACATTTCACTCATACCGGTCTATATTGTATAGTCTGATTTCTCAAGTATTTGGAGCCACGAATGCTTGTAATTTTCTGACTAAACCCTTTTATTAGTTGGTTTATATACCAAATTCAGTAAAATATTTTTTAAATAAAACATGAGATATTGGATTTATTAGCTTTTCCATTTTGAATCATATAGACTGCTTTATTCATTCTTAACGAAAATTAATAAATTTCCTCTCTTTCTTCAGATGTGAAAGTTGTGGACAAACCTGTCTAAGCATTGTGAGACTCTTGCAGCACAAGAGGCAATAGCAGAAATAGTAAGTATATCAATCAAGAAATTAAGCCGACATAAAGCAAAACTTTCAACTATTCGTCTAATCTCAATTTCCTATTATTTATTCACAGGACAACTATAGTAGACGGGGAGATATCAGAAGTCTGGCGAAATATCAGTGACAGTGTGATTCCAAGAAATATAATGCAATTGAAAATAGAAAATGGCAATAGAAGAACAACCTATGGAGGCATGCAAAGACATTTGACCCTCCGGTAAAGTTGTGTATGGCCCCCACATCCTGCAGGGCTTGAGGAAAATAACTAAAAATTCCAAAGCGTAAGATTGCATAAGCGGTCTTATTTGTAAAAAGGCACAAAACACGCCAGACATACTTAAAACAGCTTTGGAAATGAGGATTACGGGTACCTCACTGCACCTGTGTTATATTTGGTTCATCAACTTTTGGTAGTACTATAGAAGAAATTCCGGAAGGGGTATAATCATCATTCATGATAAAATACTATCATATATTTTTTGAACAACTTCAATCTAGACCAGGGATCTCAAACTCGCGGCCCCAGAGAACTTCCAGTGCGGCCCTCGAACGCTTAACAATAATTGTAATAGTATTTTTGAAGTTTTTTTTTATCTAAATGTAATAGATTTTTCAAACCTTCTAAAGTGAAATTGATTATTCACACAGAAAACAATTTACTGAAAGTAGTTTTGGAATATTAATTTTTTTGTCCACATTTTGACCCAATTAAGAATACACATCAAGCTAGCAAAAGAATACTTGAATAAAACACTTGAGTAATTAAATTAAACGCAACGTACATGAAGAAGGTGGCATTTTCGAAGAAAATGGGAGTTGTAACATTTCTGCTCTTCACAAAATTCTGAAGCACATTGTTTAATTTGTCATATTTCCGTCAATACAATCAAAAAACACAATAAGCTCAGCAGTCAATATGACAAATTCGAAGACCAACTTCGAACAGAAAATTTCCATGTGTTTGTATATTAATATAATTATACAACGACTTAGTTACTAAAAATCAATATCAATAATAATTCAAGCAATCCTATGCCACGCAATGTAGTGAGAAATGTCTTGTCGAAAAAATCTGTCATTTGTTTTTTTACTGATCTATACATGAAATGATAAAAGTAACTTTTTTGCATTACTGGAATTAATTAAACATTCGTAAAGATCCAGATAAACCCATGATCATGTGGCCTCGTTAGTTAGAGTTAGTACTATAAAATCATTTCAGACTGGCCTTAGTATGCTGGTGACACAAAAAAGATGCCAAACGCCAGGACAAATGTAATTATTAAAACATTGAGTTTATACTGTAGTATTTTTGTTAATTTTAGGTTCATATATTTAGATTAAGTTATTTTTAGTGTATGTATTATTCTTTCCTTATTCAAAGCTTGTTCAAAAATGATTTTGATGGTTGTACATAGAATTTTACGATTTTTTATAATAAATACTGTAACTTGCAAATGTTGCAATAATAGTGGAATGCAAATATTAATATGTAATTGCATTTGAAATTGAAGAAAAAAATAAAACTTAATGCAATTGAAATAATCTTGCTATATTGAATACAAAATCGTTGCTATCATAAAGGTAAACCAATTCAGCCACTCGAAATATATTGGCCTTCACAAAGCAATGGAGGCAAAATTGAGAGTTCATGAGCTATGAACATTTGTTCTTTTCTTTGTCTTGAACTTTCCATACTCCACAGCCCCTATTAATTTTTTTTAATTTTAATTACCATGTGATGGTCATACATATCTTTAACTTGTATTTTCTGTCATGATGTATTATCTCAATGTGCCAAACTATTAATTAGTGTGCATATTTTGCTTCCAGATGACATAAATGTATTGTCATGTTTATTACCTCAGCTTGGAGTATTGACAAGAAAAAGGTGCCAGTAAATTAGGTAAAAAAATTTTCAACTCATTGTTATAATCAGAATTCACAATCAATAGGAATTATAAACAGCCAACAATCAGTGAGAATTATATGCGAAATCCCTTAGAATAAATTTGTCTAAAATCGGAGGAAGG